CCCCCCCCCCCCCCCCCCCCCCCCCCCCCCCGAAAACAAAAACTCTCCGGATCTGGACGATTCACATAAATGACATATTTTAGTTTGAAAAGCGCCAAAAAGTGACTAGTTTGCAGGTATGCTTGAAGGATGAGCTTTTTATTATTGAAATGAATTAAAGTAAGTAAAGGATCCAAGTAGCTCTCCAAATGTAATGGTTTAACATGTTGTGATACCAGCAACGATACTGAGGTTTCCAAAATGACTGGGGACAGGCGTACCCATCCCTGACTGTGAGAACGATGAGCAGAGCACTTGGTGAGGGACTAGTATCTGCAGCAGGGAACACGATGTTTTCAACTGTTTGCTCACCAATGCAGGAGCTTCCATCGAGCTGGTAGGATCCATTGTCATGGAAACCACTTCTGCATTCACAGTGGTACCAGCCCGGTAGGTTGACACAGCGAGAGTGGTTGTGGCACTCAATCAGGCCCTCTGCACACTCATCAATATCTGCAGACACAAACACACACGGTAACATGAGAACCTGTCAAAAGGGTTCCATGGAAAGGAACTGTGAACTTGAAAACCCAGCTCATTTCAAGTATTTGATGTGCTGCCTGCTTTTTTTTCCTAATCTGTGCTAGTTACAACAGCTGAGGGTGATCTAATCAGAACAAATCAGTTCTGCTGCAGCAGAGCTGGATCAGCAGCAGCTCAGATTAGACAGCTAGCATCACCGCAGCCATGGCTGCAGAACAAATCAACATTTTCAAAATCAAACCACTTAGAAGAAGAAGGGTTTTCTTTGTGCATTTTTCTATTTCTTCTCTCCAGGTTTCACCCTCCTCTTGCAGGTTACTTAGTAACTTGCTAGCAGTGTGCACACACATAAGCCCAGTTTTGAGCTCTTTGTGCCCACTCAGGAGAATAACCGTCTCATTCATTATGTATGCTGTTAGCTCTGCTCGTCATCTGAACTTCTCTTGCTGTTGTCTATAAGGTCTGACCGGTGCACACGATGTGGTTCAGGTGAGCCTGAAGGTCACCTGAGCTGCCTAAATGCAGAAAATAGCAAACACTGAAAAGTAGTTAGGGACTGCTCATGAGCAGCCATACATTCACACAGCAAACTCAAACAAAAGGTTGGAGTTTATACTGGAGCTCATCACGAAGGAAGAATACATATAGGAACTTAAACTGACGTAAATATAAATAAACATGTAAACATCTTGCAATTAATGAAAATGTTATTGCAACAATGTCAAGAAAAAAGCATTTACCCCCTTGGATGTTTTATGCCTTTATTTTGGTCATAAATCAATCATGCTCAACGTAAATTGGTGTTTTGGGCAAAAACAAACAAACAAAAAAAACAACAACAGCAAAATCTTCAATGTCAAAGTGAAATCTAATTTCTACAGAGCAATAGTCAAATAAATAAATAAATAAAACTGTAAAAATGGGACTGCATACATTTTCACCACCTTTAAGGCGAAAACATTTGAAAAGTATGAATCAAACATTCTCAGGAGTTCTGTTCGATCCATAACGAAGAAATGGAAGAAATGTGGGACATGTGTAAATCGGAGCAGTTTGTCCATGAGTGACTGTGCATGACGGAGAATAGTGAGAAAGGACACCAAGACACATGTGACCACACATGTGAGACTCATGTTCGTGCTGCTGCTGTTTGGCACATTGTTTTGTACTATTAGTGCTCAGTGTATTCTTAGTTTAGCGTATTTATTGGTTCATATCTTAGATCTTATTTTACAAATACAAATTTACAATTTGTATTTTTGTTGGATGTTACTGGCACCCTGTGTACACAATTTCGTTCCACCACATGTACCACATGTGATGTGAATGACAATAAAGACACCTTGGCCTTGATCACTCTGAAGGAGTTACAAGCTTCAGTAGTTGAGCAGAGTTATTGGAGGGGGGAGCTCAATCATCCAGGTAGATAATAACAGAAAAGGTTAAATTGTGACAACTGGACCAGTTACTTTAAATGAGAAACATTTCATCCCCCATCCAGAGGACTTAATCAGTCTGCGGCCTGCCAACCAGATCTGTCCTATAGGCGGTCTTCATTGCTGTTTCACGTCAACCTCCTTTGAGATTCCAGCAGGAGGTTGTCTTGAAACACTGACATTAACTGATATTTATAGTGCTGCTTATTTTCGTTCTTACTGTAAATGTAAACTACCGGTAACTCATTTTTGCGTTTAAGTGTTAAAAATGATCTTGTGAGGGTTGATTAATTTTCCCTATTTAAAAACTCACATTGTAATCATAATATAAATATAAATTGAGTAGTCTGTAATCGTAGTTGCCGTTATTTAGGATAAATTTAAACAACATATTTTTTAAAGCATTTGTAAATTTCATTTTCTAATTTGTTCCAAATCATTTTACTAATTTCTACTTTATAATCACATGCCTTAATAAAGACAGGTAGCTAAGATCAAGCCAGTATTGTCCAGACCCGACCTTGAGAAACTAGTCCACGCCTTTGTCACAACCCGTATGGACTATAAATTGAACGATATTATGATCTCAAACGATTCTGGTCAATTTGTGGTACTTGTGCTCCCGGACCTTACTGCTGCTTTTGATACTGTTGACCACAGTTTCCTTATATCACGGCTGGAACAGTGAGTTGGGATCACAGGTGCTGCATTAGAATGCTTCCGCTCATACCTGAGTGGCAGGAGTTTTTGTGTAAAGGTTGGTAATAATGTATCCGCCTCATTACCTCTTTCTTGCGGGGTCCCACAGAGTTCGATTCTTGGACCCCTTCTGTTCTCACTTTACTTGCTCCCACTGGTGTCCATCCTGAGGAAACACGGTCTTTCATTTCATTGCTATGCTGATGACTGCCAGATCTACCTGCCTGTGAAACCGGCAAGTGTTTGTTCTAATCACCCTCTGTTAAAATGTCTGGATGACATTAAGGCCTGGATGGCTTCAAATTTCTTAAGTTTTAACAATGAGAAGACTGAAGTCATTGTTTTTAGCCCAAGTTCAACTGCCACCACTGATCCTGTCAACCTGGACTCTCTTCAGCCATATCTGAAGCAGTCTGGTAAAACTCTCGGGATGGTTTTAGACTCTGACTTCAAGTTTGACAAACAAATCAACTCTGTTCTGCAGAAAAGCTTCTTCCAACTCAGACAGGTAGTTAAGCTCAAGCCAGTGTTGTCCAGACCCGACCTTGAGAAACTAGTTCACGCCTTTGTCACGACCCGATTGGACTATTGCAACGCACTGTATGCTGGGATCAGCCAGGCCTCCATCTCACGTCTTCAGCTCGTCCAGAATGCTGCTGCTTGGCTTTTAACCGGAACGCGTAAGTCTGAACATATTACACCAGTTCTGTCCTCCCTTCACTGGCTCCCTGTTCGTACAAGGATAGTTTTTAAAATTCTTCTGTTGACCTTCAAATGCCTAAATGGCCTCGCACCCCTTTACCTCTCTGAGCTTCTGGAACCTTACGTTCCCTCTCGGGCCCTGAGATCATCTGATCAGCTGCTTTTGGCTGTTCCAAAATCAAGACTGAAGCTCAGAGGAGATCGGGCTTTTTCAGTCATGGGCCCCAAACTCTGGAAACACCTGCCCCCAACATCAGGCAGGCCACCTCCCTTCCTCACTTCAAATCCCTGCTGAAAACACATCTGTTCTCTCAGGCATTTCACACACTGTAAATTGATCTAGTGTTTTTTTTTATATCTGTGACCCTATGTTTTAAATGCTTTTTATTAATTCTTCAGTTATTATCATTAGTGTATTGTATTTTTCTTCTCTTTAATTTTACTCTCATTGATTGTTGTTGGGGCAGCACGGTGGCACAACTGGTAGAGCTGCTGCCTCTCAGCGAGCAGGTCCTTGGTTCAAACCCCGGTCCAGGGGCCTTTCTGGGTGGAGTTTGCATGTTCTCTCCGTGCATGCGTGGGTTTTCTCCGGGTGCTCCGGTTTCCTCCCACAGACCAAAAACATGCATGTTAGGCTGATTGGTAACTCTAAATTGTCCCTAGGTGTGAGTGAGAGAGTGAATGGTTGTTTGTCTCGTTTGTCTCTATGTGGCCCTGTGATGGACTTGCGGCCCGTCCAGGGTCCAGGGTGTCCCCCGCCCCTCGCACAGTGATTGCTGGACATGGGCACCAGCGACCCCCCTGACCCAAAATGGAATAAACGGGTAAAGATAATGGATGGATGGATGGATGATTGTTGTTGTTGTTGTTGTTGTTGTTGTTTAACTTTGATAACAGGATCTGTTTTAAATGTGCTCTATAAATAAAGTTGACTTGACTTAATTTGACTGCCTGGTCAACCAAATAGTTGATCACATTCTGAGTCACTAAATGCCAAAGAAGGGAGTCCCTAACCTAACTCAGACTGATTGAACAAGCTCTACCTTTCAGTTAAAGTATGTAATAATAAAAAGATCCACCAGATGTGACAGCAAATAGTAGGTTTGTCTTTCCCTCCTCTGACCAGGAAGTGAAAAATCAGGACATCATGCATGACATCATGACTGTTTTTGGGTAAACTTTGAAAGGTATGGACATTTTTTTTAACGTATTTTGGTGATAAAAGGCCTTAATAAATAGAATTATGACCCTTGACGCAACACAAATGCTCAAATTATGTTAATTTTTTTAATGTGTTTAACCAAACTGGTTGATTTAGTCAGTTCATGGTATAGGTAGCAAACTTACACTAATGCAATTAAAAATGACAGCTTGCTATAAATATCAACTTACTCTAACAATCTAGTTGATCTATTTCTGTAAATATGAATATGTGTTAGTACATGAATATGATGAAGGAATTTTCCTACTTCTGATTTTTGTTGCTTTAGAAGTTCAACTAAGTTACTATGATTAAAGTCGATAAAAACATGTAGCAATAAGCTCAATACAATTTTAATGAAATAAGACTAGCTGGTGTACTTGTACTTCTAAGTCAGGTATTTTTAGAAAGTTTCACAAAATATATACAAAAGAATAGGATATGTATATGTTATAGAAAAATAATCACTGATTGCTGTCAGTCACCCAAGGAAATAATAAATGGAAAAAAAAATCATAATTTGTCTTGGTGGGGTACTTAAAGGGTTAACAAAATAAATGTTATTAAACTGACTATTAAAACAATTTCACAATCATGTCCAATACCATAAAACAAGAACAAACAAACACTAATAACACACAAAAAAAAAAAATATGGGTAGTTGCTGACAATACATAAAAGGCCAATTTACTAAAAGTGAAGTCAGTTTCCAGATGAAACTGCAGTTTGACATAGATGGGGTTTTATTTATTATTTATTTATTTATTTATTTATTTATTTATTTATTTATTTATTTATTTATTTATTTTTTTTTTTTTTTTTTTACCATTTAAGGTTCTCTACAATAAATAATTTGAAAATGAACAAACACTGAAATATCACTGCACTGAACTGGACTAGTTTTACTTAAAACAAACTGGACTGAACTTAAT